CCGAGGTATCATCCGCTGCTGGGGGTGAACAGCCACGTAGCTCACGGACCCAAGGTGGTGCGGCACGCCGGTTGGACCACGAACGGTCCACGAAGTCAGCGGACTCCTCTCTCCGGTCGAAGTTGGTTACAACGGCGACCGAGGTGGGAGTCAGAGAGACCTTCCCTTCTCGCGACGAGGAGAGGGGCGCTCCAATGGTGAGTCCATTTTCTACGTTGTCTTATATTTGTATCCGTCTCTCTTCACTCAGTTGTATCTCACTGCCTTGCTGAAGAGAAAGGGATGACAGTAAGGAGGCGAGGCCTCCTTTTATGCGGTGAGATGCGCGCACATTCAGGTAGAACCGCCCAGGGGCCGGCTACGTCTAGAAAGTCTCAGTGGATGAATGCTTGCATGACAGGATCGAGGGGAGTACCCATAGAGTCCAGTAGAGGGCGGAGCCTGTGAGAGATATAACTAATAATTTCAGCTCAATTTATATATGTCACTCAACCAAACAAGCTCTTGGGTGCTGCACTCTTCTGAAACAGCCCATCTGTCTAAATTGTGAAAGGTTCAAGCTGTGAGTATATTCCCAGCTGGTATGTTTAAAATTCAAAGATCTGTAACGTAATGAGAAGAGAGTCAGCAGCTAGGTGTCAGACGTAATGCAAAGAACATCATGCTCAATGGTTATCATGCAAACAGTGGAAATATTATTATTAATGATTGCCTACTGCTGGCATAAGCATTCACACACGTTTTTATGAATATTAATCCCAGAGATTGAAGGATGTAGTTTGTACGACTCACTTCAAGCACAGCTCTAAAAATACTCTGGGAGGTGGATTCTGTTCCTTGTTGCCCTTTAAAAAGTAGAACACAAGTAACTTTTTGACTTGCCCTCTGATGAAGGAAGCACTATAAAACCAACGCAGTAAGCACGCGCACACTTCATGCAAGTCTTTCTGTGTGAATATTTTCACATTACTATCATTTAATTAGCAGTTAGCGGGGGGTCACCAGTGGAACCAGCAGGGGCTTATTACACACAACCAGTCTTCCAAGAAAAACAATTCTTATATTTGAGGAGGAGAGATTTTTCTGCTGCTTAGAGCTGCAGCTGTAGACACAGTGCTTGCTGTTTTGGGAGACGCAAATTAATTTACACTTCCGAGTGACAGTTCTCAGGAATCATGATGTGAGAGAGCATATGAAATTCATATTGTGTTGCTTTGGCTACAGCAGCAGCAGCAGGCTGTAGACAAACATTCATGCATTAAGTAAAAGCGTGTTATATGGTCCCAACATAATCCGATGCCAATGTTTTTAGAGATGGCCTCCAGCATATTTCTGCTGGCAAAAATACTTTGGATCTGCTGCAGAGGCGTTATTATCAACCCATAAAAGCATTTTACAAGCACTGTTATGTTGAGTATTGTTGTAATGACAGTTTTTATGTACACAGTTTATATTTTACATAAGTTCACAGCTCTTTCTCATTATATATAAAACATAAAAAGTAATAAGATACAGGGCCAGCTTAAAAAGAGGAATTTTAAGGGGACCTATTGTGCTCATTTTCAGGGTTATAGCTGTATTTTGTGCTTCTGCTGTGACATGTTTACATGCAAAAGGCTCTTTATTTTCCTCATAGTGCCTGTGCTGCAGCACCTCTTTTCACCCTCTGTCTGAAACCAGAGCCCAGTCTGCTCTGATTGGTTAGCTGGTCGGCTTTGTTGTGATTGGTCAATTGTTTAGAAATGTCCTGCCCCTCTTACGGCCCCTACACACGGCGGCGTGCGTTGACTCTTCAACGCTTCTGTCCATTCACTTTGAATGGGGTGGCGTCACATTTCGCTAAACTGCATTGTGGGAGCAAAGCGTAGCTTCTCTCGCGGTGCTCGCTGCAAAAGTAGAGCAATTTTCTACTTTTGACGCTTCGACAGAGGTGTCAGCCAATCAAATCCCGCTTATGCAAATCTGCCAGTACAAGCGCTAGCCAATCAAACCGCGTGTATGCTGGGAGAGCCAGACCGCAGTTCATTTCCTCATATGCCAAAAAATAGAGGAGAAAATAATCATAGCGGTAGGGAATCACCCGGTGCTTTATGATCAGTCTCTGTTCACCTACCGGGATACAAACCGGAGGAGTCAGGCATGGAGGGAGGTGGCAGAGACAGTGGGTGAAACTGGTAGGTTTTCGCCTGTTTGGGGAGTTTATATCCAGTTTACTTCGTTTGAATGGACAGCTAGCAGGCATAGACAGTATTTAGCCAGCATGGAATGTTGCGTAAAATAGCACCATAGACATTAATGTCATAAATG